ATACTTCCAGGACTTGTTCTCCTTGTCCCCTGGCAGCTGACTCTCAATAGCAGGGGCTGCCCTGTAATGACAATGGAATGTTTAAAGCAGTATAAGATTAAACAAGATCTAGGACATTTTTAGTTGTGAGCCCAACTCACAGCAGTTCAGACATCCCTGATGGTCAAGGCTGTAGCTTTCCCAGTTTGTGGATTTTGGCATTCCTCAAGGCTTGTTTTCAGACACTGAATGTTAGTTTTCACATGTTTAAATTTCTGTCCAAAGTAAATTTTATCCTGGCATATAGAGGTAGAGTGAGGATCTGTTTACAGTGTGGCTCTAGTTATGGTGTCTTTTACATTACAGATCCTCTAGAAAGCTTAAACACTTCAACTTACTTAAACATTATTCTGGGCTGAACTAACTTGAAGCAAACTCTATTATCTTCACCCTTCCCTTGCTTATGCTAGAGAAGTCATCTGTCATCTGTTGAGGACAAGAGCTGTGGTCCATGGACTAGAAATGTGAATTGAGTAAGGAAGACTCCTGTTTTTTCCATCCATAAACCCAGGAGTGGGTTGAAGATGAGCACGTGCCCATTTGCTCCAGGGCAGAAGGTAACCTGCAGCTAAGTGTCCTTTGTTGGTTTGTGTTACTTTTGTTTTTCTCCGAGGCACTGCCATATGGTTAGTCCTGGCACTTGCACTTTGATTCTGCACATGAGCAATGCTGGAATGCAAGAGCCAGCAGAGTTTTGTGCCTTGATTTTACTTTTTTTTTTTTTAGTGACTTTGCACAAAAATGCATTGCAGTCTGTGGCTGTTTTAGGTTTTATGCTGCTTGGTGCGGGTTTACATTGTATGGTGTGCTGTGAAATTTAATAGGCTGACTTGTATCCTGAATATAATAAATTCTTAACAGGAGAAGACACTCAGGTTCCATGATGTAAATAAAGTTTGTTCTATTTTTCAAAGTTACTCTGGACTTCTAGATTTGAAACTTACTCCTGTTGTGACTACCGTTTCTCTTTGGATGTGGGGAAGGCCTCCAAGAGATGATACTGAGGTTTCAGATCCCAAAGCTTGACCTGGATTTACAGTTTACTTGAGCAGTCTGGGTTTTGTGACTGTGGGCCAACCAAAGGCAACAGAGGTGGCTACAGCTGAGGGTAAATATAAAAACCCATGTAATTTTTACCATATCATTTTATTCAACTTTAATATGGTTTCCATTATTAACTTCTAAAACAAAATGATTTCCAGTTTAGAAAACAATGCACTGACCACATAATTCCTTTTCCATTTTATACAGTTATACAAATATTCTAAATACACATTTTGTCAAGATGGTGGCAAATAAGATTTAACTGTACAGTACATAAGGAAAGAAAATATTTTAAGCATATTTAGAAGCAATAGAAATGTCTATACAAAACAAGCAAAAATGGAATAAAATTTTATATTTAAAGTATTGCAACAGTCCCACAGGTTTGTAACAAAAATGTCTTTGCACAGTTCCTCACAATGCCCCATTAATAGCTAAAGCAAGACAGCAATTCTTAGAAAAAAATGTTTTAAAATGCTACACATGATACTACTGCCTGCACAGTCTGATCAAAATAACCATCTACTTGGAATCAAGCAAAACTCAGGAGGAGATATACCAACCAACTTTAAAATTATCTGTATAAAAGTCATTGCACATTATTTTACTCAGTTGTTTGAAAAGTAAAAAAGTGTATTTACAAAATATTTCGCAGACAAAATTATAAAGTGAATGGATAATATCGAAGTAACACGTCTTGATACTGACAGTTCAAGAACACACACGAATGGTTGTATCGGTTCAAGAGGTTTTCAGTACTCCTTCCTCCAGGAAGTAAACTTGACTTCTACTTGAAAATGGATTTACAAGATGTTACACATAGCTATTTATTTCAACATCAGCATTAGAAAACAGTATGTTAGAAACATGAAAGAAGGAAGAAATTTGTACATCTTAAAAAGTGAGCTGTTCATAGGTCAAATGTTTGTTGGTTTTTAATTTAGTTAGGATAAGCGTTCATTATTCTTCAGATAATAAACAGTTAAAATGGCAATCCTGGACTAGATGAGAATTGAAAAGCACCATGCACAATAGTCTTAGTGTGGTAAACACTGAAGGGAAAAACAAGTAGCACCTGGAATCCTGTAACACAGCTTGTTTAAAACTGGTCGAGCAGCTGGCGAAGATACGGTGCCTTGGACAGTTCTCTGCTGACTCTGGAGAGCTTGAAGAGTACGGGACAGTTGAGGGAGACACACTGGATATGTCGATCAAAGCAGCCTGTACAGTTCTTGCATATCTAGATTGCATGTCAAAAAGCAAAACAGATTATTGCAAACTTGGAACAAGGAAGGTATAAATCACTTGTGAAGTTCTCAGCACTAAGTGACAGCAGAAGAGGGCAACCCCACCAGCACCATCCTTTACGCAACACAAGAGGGCTCCAGAGCAGCTCTGCTCTGGGTATGGAGCCTCTCCTGCAGCTGCCAGGCTGCTCCTTGTGCTGCCGGTGCTGGTGCTTGGGCTGGCATCAGCCGCCCCGCGCTGGGCAGCAGAGTTGAGCAGCTCAGGCCTCAGTCCTGCTCATGGAGTTCTACTCGGATGTGGTGGCATGTGTTAAGGTAAATGAGTGGATTAAGTGGGGCAGTGTGTTATACCCATGATAAACTTGTCCTGTAGAAAAGTTTTCTACCGAAACAAGACAAAACTGTTAGTCTGCAGTTATTCTAAGCAGGAAAGGGACTGGATAAACTACTCCTGTTTCAAGTTAAGCTCCCAGGTCGTAGTTAATCAATCCCAAGACAGAAATGCACTGGGCACACAGGTTCCACTGCTCTCCTCCTTCGTGGATATTCCTTAATGTAGTTAATGCTGCTTGAAAGTACTTTCAGCATGAGATACCTGATGGAATCAAATAGCAGCAGGCACAGGGTTTCCAAAGGTAGCTGCCTTGAGAAAACTAAAGGCCCCTCTTTGCTATTTTATTTTTATTCCTTTCCAGCATCTGCCACCTCTGATGGTTCTTCCAAAAACTCACCAAGTTGCTTCCAGCCACACTTGTGTTTTGTAACATCAAAACATTACACAGGTTACCGCACCATTTGCACCGTTTCAACAACAAATCAAAATCTTAGCCCTTTGCTTTTAAAATTAGTTCCTTTCCTTCTTTCCACGTTAAAACTATCTGGGTACCAGCAACCCTCTTGGCCAGACCTGTACCACCACTGAATCCCTGTGGACCGTAAATTCACACTGACAGCAGCTGGAGAGGAGCCACCCTGCTCAGCCATGTCCCACACATGGCACCTCGGAGGATACCAGGTCTCTGCCCTGCAGCTGTGACCCAAAGGAACGGGATTTAAACCATTTGTTCAGGAGCAGGATTTAAGCTATTTGTTCCAGGTTTGTAAGCACTAGAAGAACCTCAGAAACAAGCCCACCCTTGTTCTGTTGTAAGGCTGTGGCTGGTTTGAATGCAAGGGACCACCTAAAATGGTACTTGAGACACTTTCTAAATTCAGTTTGTGTAGAGGGGAGCCGTCTCTGGCCTTTATCTGTGGCACATAGTTTTTTAGTGTGTTTTAAACTAATGTAGCATTCAGTGTTGTATCAGTTTTCTGCTGGCTCCGGCATGTCTATGATGTAGTAGGGCCAAGAATGTAAACTGTGAAGGATATATACATCTTCATATTAAAATGAGACAGACACTCTTAGAGAGGCTGAGTCATCAGATGCTGATTACAACATCGATCCAGGCCTTGCCAACCCGTTGGGTGTTGCAGAGACAGAAGACAGTTCTGGTGGGAACACTGACCCTTCCATGGGGCTGACCCCATCTGCCCAGGTCTGAGTTATTCCAGAACAAAAGCAATGCAAAAGGTTCAGAGTACCACAGAAAAGTGCAGAACATGCATCGCCTTCCTCTATCGCCATTTACAATGCAGGTCACAGCAAATGTTACAAAATACACACTCCTAATGCAGTAGTTATGAATAATGAACCGTAATGGTTTTCTAGCAACGGAACCCCATGGGAACCTATCAAATCAATGCCTACACTATAGGAACATTCATATCCCTGCAATTCAGACAAGTCTTGAACACGGTTCACATGCTACTGCTAAAAATACACTGTAACAGAAATATTAATGATAAGCTACAACAGTACGAAAATGAGGTGAGGACAGACACCTTTCTGCAAGGGGAGGCACTGTGCTCTGCTAGAATATACTGGTGAGTGCAGTGAGCCATGCTCTGCACTGACTTCTAGCTCAGGGGGCAAAAAAAAATAACAGCTTGGAAAATTCCTACGAGAGGAAAGATAACAAGAAAACCTCCAGGCTAAAACACATCCATATTAAACACATAAATAAATGCATTTCTTGGGACAACGTTTTTGTTACTAGAACATTGTCAGTTATTTTAATGCAAAAAAAGTGACTCTCATACTTTCACAACTCTCCATCACTGTCATTATAAAAAGGCACCTGCAAACTATTCTATGATTCTATGATTCTAAACCATGTAAGATAAAGAAGAAAAGCATTTTTTTTCCTGATCTCACCCCCCTTTTGCCTTCAGTTTTATGCAAAGCTAAGGAGAGGAACAGCTGCTACACTGCCTTCAACAGCAATGGGAAAAAGCAAACAAGCTGCAACACGTTTAGCACCTAGACTGTGCTTCCCATTTTGGCTGGGGGCACTCAGTAACAGGCTGCTTTGAAATTTCAGCCCGTCTTTGGCTGACAGACATCTGACAGTGCTTTAAGCGTACCTTGACCAGCTGTTCCTGCTTACGCTCCAGCTCTCGGATTTCTTGGTTGAGAATCACTGCCACATGCTGTGGCTGGCTTCTGCATTTATTACAGATCCCATACTGGGTCAGTTCATCGCACACGGGACAGTGTAAGGTCGTGAAATACTGGGAGATTGTGCCTTTGCGTCCTTCCAGCTCGCTGTGGGCAGCTGTAGCAGCTTTCTGAATCTTAGAAAAATAAAATTAAGAGGTAATGAACTTTAAAGAGAACAGCTCACCTTATTCCTGTGTTACACAGCCTCATTTTTTTGAAAGGAGTATGGAAGTGCAACACAACCTGCAGGGCATGGCTTCAGACACAAATTATGAACATGGATCTCATCACCAAAGAGCACAGCATTGCCCTACACAGGGTAGAACCCACCCACACCTATTTCACAGAGAATCTCACCAAAAAAGACAGAGTAACCAAGGAAATCCTCAGTCACATGCTAAACTCCTGATCTCATCTTAAACTCTGCCTCTTGCAGAGCTCCTTCATAGGTGTTGATCTGCTTCACATCCAAAGGTGTTCCTGGCTGCAGCAGCAGTGGCTGCCTTCTGGATACTGCCTCCATCGAGTTTCTGTGCCAGTGTAGTCCTGGTCACAGAGCTGCCACAGAGCCCATGCTCTGATTTTTCCAGACGAAGCTCCACTGCTGCCCCCTCACCCAGGGAAGTTTGTTCTCTGCACTCACTCCTAGTGCTGCATGACTTGTGCTTTGTGCTATCCTGCACTCACTGCTTCAAACACAACCTCTGCTCGGTGCTCTCTGGCCTTGCAGAAAATCAGGGCTTTTTTTGCTATTTCAGAGCAGCTTGTTGGAGATACTTAAGGTGAGTGTTGCAGTGCCACTGGAAAGGTAGAGAAGCAGAACTGAACTCCACCAAGGCTATATTAAAAGCGTGCAGTGGAGAACATGAGGTACTTCTATGCTGCTGAAGTCTACACTAAGCAGAGTCACCAAACTACACAGATACCGTCTTTCACCACCTGTTTTTGTCAGGGGAATCACAGACTAAAATCCAGCTAATACATCTCCTTCTTCATCTCAGAGATTTCTTTAACTTTTAGGAAACTCACTTCTGGAAATAGTTTAGAGTTTCTGGTGATACAGTTTTTGAAAGAAGTGTTCCTGCTGCTGGGGCATTACCACCTTTTCTATAAAAAAGAAAGATCTTCAGAAAATCTTGGAAAAACAGGAGCACCAACATCTACTATAGTGAGATTTCAAACGTGGCATAGCCAAACAGATGCATATGCTAGTACTGCTAAAAAAATATATGGTTATGGCAAAATACTCTTAAACTATTGGAAAGTAGGTGCTGACACTGTGGTTAACTCTGGGCTGGCCAAAAAAACTGATTTAGTAAGTGGGATCTAAGAACCAGGTCTGCATGTCTGGGCATCAAACGCTGCCCTGTAAAATAACTTTTGTTGTTGCTTCATATAAAGCTCATTCCATTAAAAGTCACAATGAAACCAAACACACTATAGATGTGTTGCATTTGTAATCTGTTTCCGAACACTTACCCGTGGCAGCTCATGGTACCAGCTGAAGACGTCTATGCCAATAAGTGAGAAGATCCTTGCCAGTGGTGGCAGAATTTGTTTGGTGATATAGTAGGTAGCGTTCAGCCTCAGGTTGGGATCCTGCAGGACTTCAATGGGCCGCCTCACCAGCTGGATCAGGGGCAGGCCGGGCATGCCGTACACGATGACATAGGGCACTCGCTCCCCAACTCGTGGTTCCGAGCGACGGTCATAAGCAAGCATTCTCCTGTTTAAAAATAGCCATTATAATGCATCCAGGGACAAATTCTTAGTTACTTCCTTTGTTTGTAAACTTCCCCATCTGATTATATCAGTACCTCTCCATGAGACTGAAGTTAGTGCCTATTATGAAGCACAGGATACAGACCCATGAACAGACCCGAATTTTAAAACTTGGAACATGAGCCCTAAAGATGTCTTCTGTTTCAGGTCACTTGGGTTTGCATGCAGGTTGCTTTCCAGCTACCTCTTCCTTAAAGAAGTATTTTAATGAAGAGCAGCCAGGGTACTAAAAGGAGCTCAAGTACGCAGAAAGAAAAGAACAATTCAATATGAAGTAGGTATCAGTCCAGGACTTGAATGTTATTGTATTCAAAAAGCACAGCTTAACTTAAAGACCTTTTGTATTAATCAAGGTGCAAAATGTGCCAGCTCACCTTATCAATTATCGATAAACAGTATCAACAGTATGAAATACTAACTTTTAGTAAGGTACTTTTTACAGCCTTGTGATGTATCTAGCAGCACTGAGAGATGTCACTGTTACAGTTTTTAACACATCTGCTATCTGTGAGTGATGGGCATCCTTGGAGAATCAAGCCCTTGGACAAAACCCAAAGCTTAAGTACCAGCAGTGAACACACCGCTGCAGAATCTTGACAAGAGGCTTTACTCTTTTATGTGCGTGGCTCTTTCAAGGACTATAAAATGGCTCTCTAGCACTATCTGATGCTGATCTCTCTTCACATGTAGAAGAAAGTCACAGCCAACTGCTGCAACAATATCTGAAGGAGACACCCCACTGCTACCTGTAACCTGGCAGTACAAAGGTCAAGATAAAAAATACCTACGACTAGCACTTAATCTCCTTACCTGGTGATTTCCAGGGCTGGTACACAGGATCCAGGTCTGTAAGCTGAGCTCCCTCTGTACTCTTTTGCAAAGATGAAGTCTTGTATGCTGGCTTTTCCTTCCAGTAACTTCATGCACTGATTCTGAACATACTGTTTGATCTGACTTATATCTCGTGTTTCAAATAGCAGCTTGATAGAACGCTCAAGTATCTTTACAACCAAAGGAAAAAAGTGAGAAAACCTCATATGCTTAACTAAAAGATAATGAATTCCAAATAAGTAAGCTATATGGAGATACTGACACAATGCTTAGAAAAAGTATCAGTTGTGAACTAGAATGTTAATATGACAACAGGTTACATTCCCTTCCATGGAAAAACATTCATAAACATTACTGGACAACTTTTTCCTCAGTTTGACACGTCTTTCATGACATTATCCATACTCTGGCACTAAGACTGTTCAACAATTACAGAGGCTTTCCAGAGTATGAGAGATGGTTTTTTTTTCCATCATCTAAAATATTCTACCATGACTTTCTGACCACATCAGCAAACAAAAAGAACTTGGATTAAAAACTGAAATAAATCCTCCTAAGTGGCTACCATTTTTACTGGCATAAATTTGTTCTGATTAGGAACAAAAGCCTTTTCTTTTTAAGCCCCCAATACACAGCTTCAAATAAACAGGTAATGAAGTTTATTTTAAATCAGTTCTTAGCTAAACTAGATTTATGTGAGCTGCTTAGCAGACACATCAGTGTGCCCCGCTCATCTTGGAGTAATACTTCCAGTTAAAGTGAACTTGATCAAGAATGGTCTCCTAGAGAACTTACATGGGGCTGAGGGCTTCTTATGGGGATTTTAGGGGCTGATAGACAATAAAGATGGAATGTGCAATTCCTTGTAATGCTGTGCAAGATCTTCAATTTGTCTTTCAAATGGCTCATACCAGAAAAGCAGATGAAGTCTCAGACAGCTCACAAGGACTAGGACCTCTGAGAAAGGATGAACACGCAAAGCAATAATAGAATCCTCTAATTACTTTCAGGAAGAGATGTGTGAGTATTTTACCTTGGAAACAGCAGGACAGGAGTCCCTTCGGACTGTCTCTATGCCTTTTGCGTCAAATACTGGGTCCTTCTGGTCCAGTGTTTCATACATGTAACCCACGTACCTCTTTTTAGTTTGCAAGACACATGGCAAGTAGACCTGGAATGTTAAAACAAAAGATAGCCCAATCCAGCATGTGTTGGGAGTATTAAGGTGGCTCTAGATCAAGAGACTGTTAAAGGAACAGATGAGGAAGTTGGGATTCAGTGGTGTCCGATTCTTCAATCACTTCATCTAGCTGCAAAGGCTAAGCAACCTGAAGCTCAGATGAAAAGCAACACACAGTATAACTTGTTTCGAGTACCCTTACTTTTCTGGATTGCACCTGTCAGCATTTTTGATGTAACCATATTATCTCTCCTTCGTAAAAAGAGAGTAATTTCATTTTAAACATCGGAGAAGGAAACTTCCCCAGCTAAAGTAGTGGCTTTGAACTTTCTATTTTCAAACCTCATCTAATTATGAGGTCATGAACCTAGAACCAGTCAGTATCCTGATCTGAGGAAAGCATGTTTATGAAATGCTTATGCTTGCAGAATGGTTTCCTCATGAATGGATTTTTAGGGTCATGATCTATTTTGTTTTATCCAACCTCTTATTTCATTCTTGATTGTGTCAGTATTCCTCGACCAGTTTTAAAAGAAACAACGGAGAACAATATTCCCAGGTTTACACACAGTGTAACACCACATCTTCCTGACTCTCCTGGAAGAGGGAGGAGCAGCCAGTTTAGACTGCCTCAAGCTGAAGAAGGTCCTGCACACAGGTGCTCCACTTCTTGAACAGTGCTCCAGCTTCAAGGCATTTTCCTTTTCCTGTGCTAGGAAGCCACACTAGGACAGAACTCAGTACTTTGACCCACAGGTGAATAAGAGCACTTGAAGTGAAGCACTTGGCCATCTTCTCAAGTATATCTTTGCACCTAATATTCTTTTTCTGGCCAATTCCTCCTTCAGCTTAATGACACAGATCGCCTCACATTGGAAGGGTCCGTGTATATTGGTCACTGAGGAAATGCTGCTGTGCCTTCCATACGTATCCTGACCTTCTTGCTAATATTTATCTGCTGTATTTTCAGTGGAAAATGGCAATTTGCTTACAAATTCTGACTCAACCTGTTGAGTTGTGTATGTACATGTAAGTATCTAGAGCACCTGAACTGATTGCTAATGACTTTCCATTATAAACTTCCACCAAAATTAGTATAACATAGCCATGTTCTTCTATAAAATGCTTATTGTCATTAATACTTCTGAAAGCTTACTGAATGGAGTTTTATGAATTTTCATTTTATCTGCATATGTTTCACATGGACATATCCTGAAGTGTGCTAAATCTGGCTGAAGACTAAATATAAGGCTTGTAATTAATGCACTGGAATCGCTTCAAGGGATGATGTACATCTCCTCTACCAAATTGCATACATTGCTTTGATTGTATGTAATACAAAACTGAGGGAGACATTATGCACTTGCAGCCCACAAAGCCAACCATATCCTGGTCTGCAAAGACAAGAAGGACATGGACCTGCTGAGGCAAGTTCAGAGGAGTGCCATGAAGATGATTAGAGGGCTGGAGCACCTCTGTTAGGAAGACCAGGCTGAACAACTGCAACTTTCTCAGCCTGAGAAGGCTCTGGGGGGACCTTATAGCGGCCTTCCGGTACCTAAAACAGGCCTACGAGAAATCTGGCGAGGGACCTTTTATAATGGCAGGGAGGGATAGGACAAGGGAGAATGGCTTTAAACTGACAGGGTTGATTTAGATTAGATATTAGGAAGAAATTCTTCACTGTAAGGGTGGTGAGGCACTGGCACAGGTTCCCCAGAGAAGCTGTGGCTGACCCATTCCTGGAATTGTTCATTGGACAGGGCTTTGAGCAACGTGGTCTAGTGGAAGGTGTCCTTGCCCATGGCAGGGGGGTTGGAACTGGATGAGCTTTAAGGTCTCTTCCAACCCAAACCATTCTGTGATTCTGTGATTTCTAAATATTGATGAGAGATGAATTTCAGATTGCCTGGTGCTGCCAAGTGCAACAGGCCATCAGGGATCCTGATGGCAACACAAGAATATTTATTGTTGCTCATGGCTGCAGCATTCTGACAAGGAGCTTGCAATGTACTTGCAGAAACAGTACAGCACACGACTGCTGCATATCCTTGTGCTACATTAGTGTCCAGAAAAATCTCCTCTCTTCACTTTTTAAGATAACAATGTTTTCACTCAACACACTTGATGCAAAATATTTTCATTTTACCTTTTCAAACTTCAGTTTAACAGGTTTGGGGTTTGTTGCTGTTACAGCTTCAGCAATTTCTTGACCAATCTTAAAAGACTGCTCCTTTGTGGCTCCTTTCAAGAGTACAAACATGCTACAAGAAATCAAACATAGGAAATAAGCACAAATCTATTCCATATAGCTCTCAAAATTTATAAACTATAGTTTCCTGGTGGCAAGGCAGGGATGTTGTTATCAATTCTGGTCCCTTCCTACATAGAAAAGCCAAAACCATGAGAAACTTCAGCATTCTGAAAGAGATTAGAAGTATCAAAGACACAACAAATGCTGTGTCTCTGCTGAGGCAGGGAACGTGACTGCTCCTGTGCTCTGCAAAACCTGAGTTCCCAGGGGAGAACTGTAAAGAGCTCTGGTACATCGTTTTTTCCCTCACTATGGGCAGCAAGAGAATTTTACTTCCCTTCTCCAACATTTTTTTTCTTAATCCCTTTTTTTCATGAAGTTACTAT